TCTCCTCCGTGCAATGTTGGTCGGATGCTGAAAGCTTTCCAGAAATCTCCGAATCCTAAAATGAGTCTCCTACGGAGCTCCGGTGCAACTAGTGTGGGTATGATTCGGGTTACATTGTTGAAAGTGATCGGTAGGTAAACAAGACCTTTTACAGGAACATTCTTTCCTTCAGCAGTTTTTACTGACACAGTCGTTGGGTGAATTTTTAATTTCAAAAACTTTATCAGCTTTTCAGATCCGGCTCCCAACACAGAACGTTGAGCACCACTATCTAAAAGCCCAAGAACTTCAACCCCTATTACGTTAACTTTGGCAAAAGGTCGGTCATCGCCCTGAACGTGAACAAAAATTTCGTCTACGCTGGGTTCAGTGACATAATCAGTATCGGATAGTGGCTCTAAACCGTATGCGGTCAATTCACTGAAAATTTGATTTATAGTGGGAGGACTTTCGAGGACATTATCAACTTGCCTCCTCAAGCTGATCCCTCGTAGTTTTTTTGACAAAATGGGCAAGCACTAGTGAAAACATCCGAGAACCCACACAAACGACAAAATTTTCGCCTGAGTTCGGGACACTCTACGTAATGGTGTCCGTGTTTTCTACAATTGTAGCATGTTCCTATAGGTGGTCTTTGGTACTTGTGGACCAATGCTTGCATCGTACCTTTAGCAGATCCCTCCATAGGTTCCATTTTCCCCTCCTCTCTTTTCCCTTTCTCATTTCCTGCCTTTCCTTTCTGATATCCAAATTCCTCGCCTGAACCTTTAGGTTTTGTTTGATTGTATTTACTATTGGTGAAAATTCGAGTATTATTTCCAGAGCTGCCAGAACTCTTCTGGTTTTTATTTTGATCTGATGTCATTTCGCTAACATGGTTATTGCGTAAGCGATTTGTGAGTTCAGACTGTTTTTGAATGAAACTAAAATTTTCATCAATTCGCCTGCCATATTTCCGTAATTTGTTCAAGGACTTAATTCCTGCTCCTGTTAAAGCATTTTTGTAATCGTGACGCATATTACGCCAGATTATATTAAATTTTCTCTTTTCAGATAGCTGTTTTGTCATCGACTGGAATAATTTTTGTATCTCGTGAAAATAATCTGCGAATTTTTCACTTCTGACTTGCCTGCGATTCGTGGCCTGGATTTCTAACTGGAAGTCAATGTCAGGAGGAAGGAATTCTCGCTTCAACTCCTTTTTCAATTCGGACCAATCCCTAAAATCCCCGTTATCTACCCCGTCAATGTACCATTCTTTGGCACGACCGGTGAATAAATGTATTGCCGATCTAAATAGTTCGTAATCCGAAACGTCTTCAGACCGACATCGCATTTTTATCTCCTTTAAAAATTCAGCCACCTTCCTACCATCATCTTTCCCATCGTATTTAAGTCTCCATTCCGCAACTGGTATCCTTTTCATCGGTTTTCTACTCTTCTTGCTTTTCCTAAGTTTTTTCTTATTTGAGCTTCTTCTCCTTTTCCTATCAACTTCGGAAGAGTCAAATGAGCTCAACGAACTTTGAATCTTCGAGCTTATACTCGACGACTCTGTACTCTCAGATGAATCTGGAGAGGAAGAACTTTCAGACGAATCGGAGCTTATTCTTTTCTTCTTCTTCTTCTTGTTGATATTATCGTTCTGACTTTGTCTGTTTTTCTGTTTACTTGAATTTTTTCTCTCTTTCAGTTTATCATCCTCACTTTCTTTGTGCGAGCTTTCGCCTGAACTATATTTGTTTCTTCTATTTTTCGATTTCTTTTTAGGTTTCGATTCTGTTTTCGATATGTTTACTTTTTTAGGTTTCCTTGGACTATCCTTTTCACTCTCAGATGATGAGGTTTCATCTGACTCAGACTCATGTTGTTTGTCCTTTTCCAACAGAGCTGCAGACTGTTTGGTGTGTCCCTGCTTTACTTTCTCATTCAGTTCTGCCAAAAGTTTTTCCAAATTTTGTTTTCGTTCAATCATTAATTCCATTTCTTTCCTCCTTTCTTCCTCTAGCTTGATTTCCTGTTCTTTCTTGCGTCTCTGTTGATCAGATGTTTGAACAACAAAATCTTTAAATGCTGTGATTAACAGCTCAAAATCTTCTTCTTTACCTTGCTCATATTCATTCAACTTATCCAAAATTTCATCAGTTCGTTTCATTGACAATTCCATTTCCTTCTTTTTCTGTTCAATAGGGTTAACTTTTCCTCCTCCAGTAGCTTGATCATTGTCTCCTTCTTCTTCCTCTCCGTCGAGATTAGCAACAGTATCGTTCAATGTTGCTATCTCGTTTCGTACCTCAACTAAAGCCTCTGTTATCTTCTTCTCTATTTGTTTCGGTTCATTTTGCTTGTCTGCCTGATTTGGTAATAGCGGGAAGTGAATGTCGATGATTCGGTCGATCTGGTTTTCGATTTTGGAAATTTTGTTCAAGTATTTGCGCGCGTCTAGTGCTCTCGCTAAATGAGCAATCCTCACACGGTAATGTATTACTCGGGTTCTCATCTTCTCTTTCTGCCTCATATCAGCTTTGGGATTCTCAAATATCCCACCGATAGCTTTCATTCGGGAAAGCACTATTGCAAGTTCCTCGTTTGCAGATCTCCAAGTTCTCGCGAAAGCTACAGAATTGATTCCTAAACTTCTCTCCTCATTCATCCTATCTTTTAGTTTACGACGTTTGACGCTCTCGTGATCGTCAAAGTGAAACAACATATTCCTAATCAACAGCTCGTGTTCCACTTCATCTACTATAGCGAGATGAGACACATTCATGTGCCTGTATTCTAATTGCAAATTCATCGTGCAGTTCCACTACCACAATCACAATTAAAAAAAAATGAACTAATTGAACTCAAATACTTTCAAGTAGCTGTTCACAAGAATCTCATGAATTGGTTAACTAGTTTTCGTTGAGTCAAGACCCATTAATCAAGAAAAAATGTAATTGAAAAAAACCTAGAATTTATTCGCGAGCAACTATTCGGGACTATTTTCACCAAATTATTTGCTCTATTCGGCGTACGCGCTCTAGTAAGTCCACAGGTATAACGATGTGTTCCGCAGAAAATGTGTCGTATTAACGAATTTGGATCCACTACCCCTTTTCACCAGTTCGAGAAATTTATAGGTTATTTTTTTTTTAATTCTGATACCCTGCTCTTTTCTATCTTCCTACACTCCCTTTGTACTTCCGATCAGTAAAGCTTGTTTCTATTGGGCGCCAATTGTTAATGGCTAGCCAGATGGGCTAGTTAAAAGGGATTCCCCTAACCTCTGGTCTAGCCACGGAGATCGTCTGGGGTGGGCTACACTCGCCTCTTTTGTTGGCTAGCTCGAGCTTGAAACCCTGGAGCTTCAAGGTCGGCTCCTGGCTTGTCGACACTGATTAAAAGTACAAAACACCTCTTTATCACTTTTCACTCGTTTATTACTTACGATTTCGGTGTCTGTAGTGTGTATGTGTGTGTAGGGCTGGCCAGCGATGACGGGATTCTGCAGCGGGTGGGGTTTTTCGGCGGCGGATGAACGGAGTGCTCACGATGGATGCCAGTACTCGACGGTTATCACCGTGTGGCACGACGGATGTTGTACTGGGACTCGATCGGGTGATCGACGGTGGTCTCCCAGTGGTCGTCGGTATATAACCGATGGACGCTTGCTACACGGGTGTTGGCGTATTAGCGGACGCCCTCGTGGTTTTAGCCCGTAATTAATGGGTCCTGAGGGGAATATGAGAGGTGGTCTTAGGGCTGGGAATTCCGCTACCGGGTATTAATTGGGTCCTACCTGGCTCTGTATTCGGTAGTTTCACCGGTATTTGTTGGCGACTCTATATTTTTCACTTCTCTTCAGAACTTTTAATAAACTTAACTTGGCAGATCGATCTATCTCGCGCAATGGCTAAAGTGAAAGAGAACCTTCTCTTCAGTTTGACCCAGTAGCTTCCCCCTTGACCTAAGCCCATTTCCACCTCCCTCCCACTTTTTCACCACCCCTTGTCCATATCCTTCTCTTGTTTCCAACGCCCACCTTCATCCTTACTCCTTCCCGTTATGTGTTCTGTGTTATGTGTTGTTGGTGTGACTGGGTTACAATTTTTAATTGGACCGTTGGTTTGGGAGTACATATTTACTTACATTCAAAACAAGACAATATTGCATACAAGAAACTGACATACATATTGAATTCACAATGAACACACATATACCCTATTCCTCGCTCTCGCTATCTCCTGTTTTTTCTCGCTCGAAGTGAACCAATAGGGTACAGGAACCAAAACGGTAACAAGTTCCAAAGCTCCGCTGCTGCTCGTTTGGGTGGGAATTCCTGGCGGTATCGATACTGTTGTGCCTGGTGTTTGCCCGCCCGTTGTCATACATTTGGTAGGGTTATACCATCGACAGACATACAGAGCAGTAAAATTTGAGGCACTAGCTTAGAGCAGTATACAACGGTAGTACGGTGGTGTGCTTTGTGTATACCTATCGATGGTTTAGGGTTGTTCCGATATTGAAACATATCGATATTTATTTCGATACTATTATCGAATTAATATATCGATATATCGAACCATCATAGGATGTTTGAGAGACTAGCAAAAAAACAAGAAAAATCGAAGGGAGCCTAACTCCCAGATTTATTAAAAATTTATGAAAAAATAAATCTTTATTTTGGTGAATTGATTCATATCTGATTAAATCCTTGTTATCCTATATAATCACACTTAAATCTGAGACTAGAAGAAACTTACTTTTCAACACACAGTTAAATGAAAAAAAAACTACTATCTAGCATCTCATACGACACACACGTCAATAAACGGTTTTGTAGCCAAGTTTTTAACGACAAAGAAAGTCGATGAAGAGAATCGATGAATGTTACTAAGGATCTAATCCACTGTTCAGCTTGAAATATTCTAACAAAAGCGTTTTCTTGGTGTTAATGTGCATGTTGGCAGATGTGGTAAATCTGCATCAGTGTTCCGACCACCAAATGCTTGGCTCTATTCGTCGACATGCTCGACAATCCAACCGATGAAGTGTTCAACTTTTGTATACACTCCGGGTTCACTTTTTACACCGCAGCTCTTCACGCCATACGATACCACTCCGTACTGGATGTATTTTGATGTGATGTTGTAAAAGTACTGCAGCGGCCCTCCCGAGTCACCAGGACAGTTATCCACCTTATCAACTCCTCCGGCACAAACTTGGCTGTCATCCAACCTTAGAAAAGAGCTTAAATGTTGTACTCGCGGAGCACAGTCTTTCCTCGACACCACTGGGACCTGCGCATATCTCAGCACATCAAAGGATTCGTTCATTTCGGTGAGGCCCCAGCCGGACACGATCAACATCGATGGATGAACTTCCCACTGCTCCTTGCTTTTATTGGGGAGACAAATCGTACGAACACCTGCAATGAATAAGTCGGTTGAGTGTGAATGACGAGTGCAAAGCAAATTGGGATAGACTGACTGGCTCCTAAAGTAGCCGGCCGCTTTAGCCGGAGAAGAGCTATGTCGTTCTTCTTGTGCCGTGCGCTATATTGGGGATGGATGGTGCTTTTTGTGACCATTATGTCCTGTGGTGGAGGAGCACAATCGCGCTTTTCATCCGGAATGATGCAATCGTGTTTTTGGGTGATGTCATTTTCTCCCAATCGCACCGATTCTCTGTAAAATTGGATACATTATTTGTCATTGATTTTTGAGTGAAATGATATACCTTTCTTACATTTTGGCACTGTTGATACAGTGGGCCGCCGTTAGGACGAATCTGCGGCTTATGAGAGTCCCACCACAGACAAACTTCCCGTGCTTGTCTCGCAACAGTGCCATCCATGGAAATTCGAAAGGCAATGCCACTTGACCGAATGAAATTCTGTCAATGGTTTGAGAGCCACAGGTTTGACTGTTCATAACTGAAGGACAGCAGACGCTGTAGACCTAATGGGAGAACAATCAAATATTTGATTCTGGTTTTACGAATTAGAACATATAACACTAATTACTGATCATACCGTTTGCTGACCAATCTTTTCCCGATTGCAAAGTTTATTCCTGGCAATGTTTCGAACTTCCTCGGGCCATTTGCTAGAGGCTGAACCGGTATATTGTTTGAACATTGGACATATGCTCAGAGGGATGCAAAATTCATTGTGGGTACACGGATGGAGGACTGTTTCTGCAAAAGCGATTGATTTTTTGATTTCGAATACACTATTCAACTAAAAATTGTTCTACCCACCTGCAGTCACCAGTTGAATAAATAGGCTTACAAGTACAATGAATCTCATTGTTGCGAGAGGAACTAGTGGAGTATTAAGTGTGACTTGTTTGGATATTCAGTGAGCAGTTGTTTGGAATGAAAAGCAGCTCAGCTCAACATCGGGTTTATATTCGTGATATGCGGTTGTCCATGCAAAGGTTCGCGCAAACATTTCGGAATTTCGTGAAGTGGTGGAAACACGTTGGGATTTTCTGCAATATCTCGTTTAGCTAGGGGGGCTCATCTTGCTTCTTTGTTTGGGATCAGAGCGTTTTTTCTCTCTCTACGATATCGACTGATGGAAATTCCGTTGGCATCATGGTATTTCCATCTTCAAATAGATTAACAGTAATTGGGGCAATTTTTTCAGTTATCGACACTCACGAGATGCGATGCGAGTCAAGGCACAACATCACGATTGTAAGAACGATAAATGTTGCGTCTTGTCTCGCGTCGCGTGAGTGAGTGTCGTGTAGTTCTTACGTTAGCACAAAACTAAAAATTAAAAGTTAGTTCTAATGGAGCTTAAAAAAATTAGATGAACCCTGCACGGTATGATCTTCAAATTAAAACTAATGTATAAGTAGTAGTGTGGTCAACTGATACTAATCCAAATGAGTCACTTTTTGATCCATCTTTGTACCACTTAGTCACTGCTATCTTATTGATATTATAACTTATGCAATATTATAATTCATTTGTTATCTCAAATTTGTCAAGTATTCCTGAATTTCTGATGACATCCCGCATAATCGCGAACTATGACAGGAGGATTTGCATTCTCGTTTTTAACGATTTGCAAAGATAGCTGTATGGCATCTAGAATCATCCGAAAAACGATAAACGTACGATGCCATAGACAGTTTTAATGATTTACTATATAGTAACTAATAAAACTACCATATGGGTAATGGGGCCTTAAGTACAATTACTATACAAAAATGACAATTTTGCCGAATAACTTTTCGAAAAAATTACAAGAGCAATGGTTAAGTTGTAATATATTAGTTCTTCACTCGTTATTTATATTCCAAATTCAAAATAAATTACATTTCAGTTTAACCTAGATGCTCCAGTTACTACAGCTACTTACCAGCCTTAATTGTTTTGATATATATCTAAGTATTTCGACATTGTTCCTGCCTAGGCAATTGAGTATTTTAAACAAGGTTTTTCTTAATCTGCATGTCAGTATAACAATTGACATCTTTAAACTAAAAACTAACACTATATCTTATCTAAGTATAAAGGGAATTAATCGTTGAAATTGAGTATTGCAACGATTTTTGCCTGAAATTATTAATTATTTTGTTGGGCATTTGTTCCAAAGTTTCAACATTCGAAATTCTATCTACCTCAGTAGTACTGTACCAGGGAGACACCTTCAAAATCATCTACAGAACCTTATTCTGAATCCTTTGGAGTGCTTTTTTTCCTGGTCGTGCAACAACTAGACCATATTGCCACAGCGTAAAGCATATCTGGTCTAAACATTTGTTTAAATATTAGAGGTTTATTCGTTATGAAAAGTTTGGATTTCCTGTTTATAAGAGGATACAAACATTTTATATAGTTGTTACATTTGGCTTGAATGCCCTCAATGTGATCTTTAAAAGTTAATTTTTGGTCAAGTACTAATTCAAGATATTTCACTTGGTTTGACCAGGAAATTGGAAATCCGTTCATAGTGACTATGTGACTACTACTAGGTTTCAAAAAGGAAGCTCTAGGCCTATGTTGAAAAGTTATAAGTTGAGTTTTGGAAGCGTTGGGATAAATCTTCCATTTTTGTAAATAAGAAGAGAAAATATCTAAACTTTTCTGCAGTCTGCTGCAAATAACAAGACTTCTTCCTTTAGCGGAAATGCTAGTGTCATAGGCGAACAAAGATTTGTGGCATCCCTGAGGCAAATCAGGGAGGTTCGAAGTGAAAATGTTATACAATATAGGCCAAAAAATGCTATCCTGAGGAACTCCTGCTCTAACAGGTAGTCGTTCAGATTTGGAATTTTGATAATTTACCTGCGGAGTTCTCAGCTGAACAACTTTTGCATTTTTCCATTTATCAGGAAAGTATGCCAAATGGAAAAATCTGTTGAATAATTTTACCAAGAAAAACAAGGTACTCTCTGGGAGTTTTTTTTATGAAGATATAGAAAATTTCATCATCACCTGAAGCTTTCATATTGTGAAATTTTTAATTATAGATCTGACCTGGGCCAAATCAGTCCCTAGGAATTATCAAAAATATTTTCCTGAGAGAAAATATTCAGATAATTCCGAGCAACTTGATTCTCAATAGGATTAGTAAGACCCAAACTGAAATTATGGGAACTCTCGAATTGCTTAGCAAGTTTCTGGGCTTTTTCCAAATTTGTGATCAAAATTTTACCACCTTCTTCAAGCGCTGGAATGGGCTTTTAAGGTTTTTTCAAACATTTTGTGGGTTTCTAAAAGGGTTTGGAACTCGGGTCTAATTAAGAAACTTTATTTTCAAAAGTTTTGTTCCTCAGGGCAGAGAATCGGTTTTTAATTTGTTTTTGCAAATCCCGCCAGATAAATTTCATGGCAGGATCGCGTGTTCTTTGATATTGTCTCCTACGGACATTTTTAAGACAGATAAGCTAAAGATCGTCGTCAATTATAATTGAATTTTGGTACTGAGGCAACTCTTGCTTCAACTATAGAAGTTGTCAGAGATTCAAGAGCATAATTAACATCATTTTTGGTTTGCAAAGGAATGTTTGGATCGAAGCTCCCAATCAGCTCTATGGCAATTGAAAGTAGAGCTGGATTAGAAATTATTTCTTGGGATATTTCGATAGTTATTGGAAGGTGATCAGAACCGAAGTCAGCATGGGTAACCAATTGGCTAAAAAGTCGACATGAATCAGTTAAGATCAAATCAATAGTTGAGGGATTTCTTGCTGAAGAAAAGCATGTTGGGCTGTTTGGATATTGAATAGTGTAATAACCTTCAGAACAATCATCAAACAGAATATTGCCATTGGAATTGCTTTGAGCATTATTCCATGAGCGGTGTTTTGCATTAAAATCACCAATAATGCAGAATATAGACCTATGACGGGTAAGTTTCTTAAAGTCCCCTTAAGAAAATTCTTTTGCTTGCCTGCGCATTGGAATGGTAAATAGGCACCTATAAGCGAAAGTTGTCCAAATTTTGATTCCACAGAAATTCCCAAAGTTTCAAAAACTTTGGTTTCAAATGAAGAAAGAATTTTATGTTTGATTCGTCTATGAACAATGATGGCAACGCCACCACAGGCTCCATCAAGACGATCATTGCTATATATGAAATAATGTGCGTCCCTTTTAACCTTATGGTTAGGTTTAAGGAACGTTTCAGTTATAACGGCAATATGCACGTTATGAACTCTCAAAAAGTTAAATAGCTCGTCTTCATTATCTTTAAGAGATCAAGCATTCCTATTTAAAATATTGAATGATTTAAAATCCATAACTGAATTCCAAAGTCATGACAATATTGTTCGCAAATTTTACTCCAGTTTGAATAACATCAAACATGGAGTTTGATTTAAGCTATCAGTAATCATTTCAATAATGCTTCCTTAGTCAAATGCAAGTAATGCTTCCTTAGTCAAAATTTTCAAAATTTCCGTTAGAATTACGTTGGCTAGTATTTTTATTTCTGCCCGCAATAGCAATAGCAGCAAGTCTTGAACGCGCAAAAGTTGGTCAGCTTCAAATTGGTGTATTTCTGTTAAAAATGCATTAAAAAAACTTGAAATGCTGCATTTGAAAGTTGAGTGTATATACAATGGTTGCTATGATGAGTTTTCACCGTTTGCTCTCCAGTTTTCAAAATGACGTCCAAGCAAAAGGAGCAGCGAGTCAAAATTTTGCTCGCGCAGCAAGAGAATCTGACGTTCTCACACGCCAAGTTGGCAAAATTACTGGATGTGGCCAAATCGACCGTGACAAACGTTTTACGAGTGTTCGGGGAGCGGCAATTGTAATCTGGACCTGGCAGCGACGACGAAGAAAGTGGCAGTGAAATATAATCGGAATCCTAACCTCTCCATCCGGGACGTCGCTGGCAAGCTCAATGTCTCCCAAGCGAACCGAGATTACAAACAAAACACGTCGTCAAAGCAGCGGTCCCCAAAGCTGTATACGAATCTGCTCACAAAGTTCGACTGTGTCGTCATGGACGACGAAACTTATGTGAAGGCGGATTTCAAGCAGCTCCGGGACAGGAGTTTATAAAATATCTCGTCTGGCAGGCCATATGCACGTGTGGTCTAAAAAGCGGCATTTTCATTACTACAGGAACCATCAATCAAGAGATCTACGTCCAGGAGTACATGGGAAAGCGGCTGCTACCATTCCTAAAGCAACCTTATAGACCTGTGCTGTTCTGGCCGGACTTGGCGAGCTGCCACTATGGGAAAAAGGCAATCGAGTGGTACGATGCGAACAACGTGGTTGTGTTACCAAAAAACCACAACCCTCCCAACAGCCCATAGCTTCACCCTTTCGAACGGTATTGGGCCTTGGTCAAACGGAATCTCAAAAAACTAATAAATCCATGGAAAACGAGCAGCAGTTTAAATCTAACTGGCGTTCCGCGGCGAATAAGGTCGTGCAAAATTTAATGGAAGGGGTTAAACGGAAGGCACGGCAGTTTGGATTTGGTAAACCTAAAGAATTTTTTTTCCTTTAAATATATGAATTGAACTACCAAAAGAAAAAGAAGAAGATTTTTGTGATGTGAATTTTGACTGAAAGAAACGGTTTTTTTGTCGACCAATTTTTGCGCGTTCCAGTCTTTAGTTTAGCACCAAACTGAATGTTATTATTACTGATGGCTTCTAATTTTACATATGTTTCCGTACGTACCGTAATATTTGATGAACAGAAACAAATTGTTGAGATCTATGTTAAAGGTCTCACACTGCTTCTTGACGCCAAACTTGGCCTACGGATTCTAAACTCGGCCTAACGCATTGAAACACCAAAGAATTTACTTGATTCGGTCAGAGCGCTTCATTTGTTTTTGAAAATATTGGGTGCAAACATTAATATCACGCGTTCTTATTGATTTTGTTCGGTAGCATTTGAAGTAAAGTATCGTACCAAAAGCATAATTTACCTGTTAACGCCGAAATCATGGATTTATTTGATGTTTTCTGCTTGATAGGCGCAAAATTGGCGCTTAGGCCGAAATAGTTCTTTACCCTATCTACTTTTGAACGGAACAGACAAGTAACCGATGGCCATTTGAAACGGGAAAACCCGGAGAAGTGACTCTGCAAAAATTCAGATTCACCAGAAAAATGATCAATTCTTGAAAGAAGACCTAGAAATCCGCGATTTTTTTTCTAAATTGCATTACAATCAATAACATAGAGGAAAGATTCCATCATCAATTCTGCAACCAGGTGGCCAGAAACCGGTTCTCTGAATATGTGGAAGCACCTCTAAAATTTCCAATTCGTGAAAGTAGACCTGGAATTCCGCATTTTTTTTTTCTTAATTGCATACAATCATGAAAATATAGGAATTATGCCATCACCATATCGATTCTACTTGCAGATGACCAGAAAAAGGTCCTGTGGATATCTTGAATCATCAGAAAAATGGTCAGCTCCTGAAAGTAGACCTGCAAGCAATCATAAGCATAGAGGAAATGTGTCATCATCAAATCGATTCTGCTATCAGGTGGCCTGAAAACGATCCTCTGGATATCCGGAATCACCGAGAAAATGGGCAATTCCTGAAAGTATACTTGAATACCCTTTCGGATATTCAAATTCACTGGGCAATGTATGTGGTCATAAACATCTGCAATTTTTATCAACTGCAAGCAATCTTGAGCATTGAGCAAGTATGCAATCAACCAAACCGGTTGGCTAACAAACAGTCATTCAGATATCCAGACTTATCGGACTTAAGGTGGCCTCGGGCTCTGCGTTTACAAAATATATATAGTAAAGAATTCAGAGCATGGTGGAAATTTGTCTGCACCCAGTTGCAAGAAGTTCTAGTATTAGTTTTGGAAACTAGCACTTCTCTTCAAAATGTATAGTCCTTTAGTAAAGTGGAAAACTGATATCAATGCATCAATTTGACCACCATGTGGCCAGCAAATGGAAAATAAAACTTTTTGAAAATAGTACAATAATAGCGAGATCTTGGTGTGATATTGAACCGCGAACTCACTTTCCGACCGCATTGTCTAAAATCCCTCTACTGTGCCCTAGTACGCTCTATATTAGTACCTGCAATGGTAGTATGGTGTTCATATGGAGTTGCAAGGACCATTGCAATGTTCCTTAGATAATGTATGTTCAGTTTCTTCGATTATCGGTAATTTTTACCGATATCTAGGTATTCTTTACCGACTCAATTGATAGTGAGTAACTCAATTGAGAGGGACGATGAGGTTCATCTTAAAAAGTGGCTCTTCAACAGATGAGCATGAGGAAATTCGTTGAAAGAAGAAATTGAATTGAATGGTTGTATGAATTCATCTTTAATCGAATAATACGAAAATTAACAGCACTGTCTATACCTAAACATGATCACATGTGTATTACAAAGTTATAACATCGACAAAGAATCAAATTTTCCCAGCAGGCCTGGGTTCAATCCCAGTCGGCGCCGCCGGGATGTTCTGAGGCATAACATCTCTGATCACGCCTTCCTTCGGAAGGGAAGTAAAGCCGTTGGTCCTCGGTTCATGAGTTGATGGGTCGATAGGTAGGGTCCAGGTGTGGGAGCTGCCTTCCTGGCGTCGGTAGCATTGGTGCTCAGCACGGAAAACAAGATCGACGGAAAAAAAATTAAGGAAAAAAAAAAGAATCAAATCAAGTATTTTAATAGCGGTGCCAGTGGTGTAGTGGTAACCATTTCGATGAAGTCTGTTTCTCAGGTAGTTTTGATCTAACTACTTTCATTCTCTCATACTCGAAATGTGTCACGACCAATTTGGCACAACGATGCCCTATAAGCTCTCTGACCAAAGACGCAAAGGGTCACTTTTGGTCGAAAATCGTGTCTCCGAAAAGAAACAAAAGAGTGAACTATTTTGTTAATATAATATATTTAGTGACATGCAATGCATTAGGTATAGGAAAAACGCGACGAAACGTGACGAAAGGGGTTATTTATTTTCTCAATTTCCCGTGATATAATTAATACATGATCCACAAGGTTCAGCTCTTCAGTGGATAAAGATAGCGTGCAAATGTTGTGAATTTTCGAAGCTCAATGATGAAACATGAAAACTGCTCACACTTAGTCCTCCAACTTTTCCTTTCTTTATTTCCGCAGGAATGCAGACGATCCATAAATTCTTACCGTGAAACGTTCCGAAGTTGCCACATGCGTATCCAGTTGCAAATAAACATCAATGCCGATTTTATTCGTCAACGTGCTCCATGATCCAACTAATGAAGTGCTCAACTTTTGTATACACTCCAGGTAAGCTTACTTCTCCGCAGGTCCTGACTCCAAATGACACAACGCCGTACTGGATATATTTCGAAGTTTTATTGGAAATATACTGCAATGGACCTCCCGAGTCACCGGCACAGTTGTCCACCTGATCGACGCCTCCGGCACAAACGTGGCTATCATCCAGCCTAACATGATTGATGAGGCTTTGTATCTTGGGAGCACAGTCTTCTATCGAAACCGGTGGAACTCGCGCAAATCTCAGCACGTCAAAGGATGAGTTCCTTTCGGTGAGGCCCCATCCCGAAACGACCAGGAACGATGGATTGACGGCCCGCTCCTCCTTGGTTCCACTGGGAAGACAAATCGTACGAACGCCTGCAATGATGTTAATTGAGCATAAATGAGGAAGGTTCACCTAAATCAACTGGACGTACTGTCTCCCATTTTCGCTGGCCACTCTAATCGAAGAAGAGATATGTCATTCGTTTTAGACCGATCGCTATACTGTGGGTGAACAATGCTTTTCTCAACCGTTATGTCCTGTGGTGGAGGAGCGCAATCCTTTTCACCATCCAGAATGTTGCAATCCACGTCTTTTGTGATGTCGTTTTCACCCAGTCTTACTGATTTTCTGCAAACAGTTTCGAAGGTAAATTTTTTGTAAATTTTTGTTAAAGTGTCACAATGACTTACATTCTATCAAATTTGGTGCAGTGTGCTGCCGTTAGGACATATCTGTTGCTGATAAGAGTTCCACCGCAGACAAAATCTCCACTTGATAGAGCCAGCAGGGCCATCCATGGAAACTCGAATGGCTTTGCCACTTGACCCTTCGATATTCGATCGCCGGCTTGTATGCCACAGGATCGACTGTTCATAACCGAGGGACAGCAGACGCTGAGGATCTGAAGGGAAAGATTCTTTAACATTGTATTCGTGTGGATTAATCAACCCTAAGTTGCTCTCTTACCTTCTGCGTACCGATCGTTTCCTGGTTGCACAAATTGTCCTTGGCCATATTTTTGAGATCCGAGGGCCAGTATCGGAAACTCATGCCAGCATATTGCTTGAACATTGGACAGCTTCGTATGTCGACACAGAATTCATTGTAGGAACACGATTTGATAGTGATTTCTGCAAAAGACAATTAGCGTCTTAATTTACAAAGTGCGACCGACAAGCCGTTAACTTACGTGCTGCTGCTAGTGGAATAAATATGCTTACAAGTACGTTGAATCTCATGGTTACGATGGGAGGTAGTGGATGTTTCAGGAGTGCGAGTATTGCTTTCTACTTGTTCGGTTGCGCTGTTGTATTGAAACTGAAAGAAGGGAAACATGCCTTTTATAATAAAGTCTGTGATTGGCCAGACTGGATGGGATGGATCATCTGTCATACGTCAAGCCTCCCATACTAAGTTGAGTGCTAGCATGCTGGAATACCGGGAACTGGGGGCTTTTGGTGGGATTTTCGTTAATATCTTCGTGTCTCACTTGGTTAGGGTGGTGCGGTTGACTTGGTTGCGTAGCGTTTTTACGATCGTTAAAAAAAATGCTGGGTATCACTGTATTACACGTTTTCCAATCATTATTGATAGTGTTAATTGAAATTTCAATACTCGCTGACGAAAATTGGAATTCGTCAGATAGACCCTATGACATAAATGAATCCTATGATTCAACAATCTCCCAAAAAAAAGTACCGTATGAGTAATAAAGCAATGAACTGCTTCGTTCTTTAAATGAATCACACTCCAGATTACGTAGGACTTGTAAACTTGTACTGGATTGTCACTATTTCATAACCTATTGCAACACAATTGATAGTGCTGCAAATTGCTTACCAAGCCGTAGGCGGCGGGTTTGATTTCCCAGTCCGGTCGTGAAAATATTTTGGTTTGGAGATTTGCTCGACTTCCCTGAGAATAGAGTATCTTATTAATGCGTATTTCATGATAAAAATTAAACTTTTATAACTACGTTTGAGTATAAAGATCATCATAATTTTGCATATTTTGATGAAAATATCCAGAATTGAAAAATTCGATTTTTAGCAGTACGACTAAGAAAGCGACCCACTTTGAAAAGCAAAATTTGGAATAATATTTAAAGCTGCTTAATTGATGAGTTATAATCAGACAATTTGTCTTTTAACTTAATATATATTGCTTAAATGAAATGCCGTCGCTCAGAGTCCAATTCATCCATGTTATCTTACAGTTAGCTATATAATTGTACCGTAATATCATTCACCCGCAAGCAATCTCCTATCTGGTAGTATTACACAATCAGAGGTGAAACGCTGGCATGGCAGGGAATCGTGCCTACTTTGGACTCCGGAGGGCACTCTGGTCAAATAAAATTCGCGCCGCACGAAGTTAACTATTAGGAGGCAGATGAACCACGAATTGCACCAGATGCTGAAAGAACCATCCATTACAAAAATTGAGCGACTACGATGGGCTGGGCACGTCGTAAGAATGCCGGACAACGACCCAGTGAAAATGGGTCTCGAAAGCCATTGGCCATGGCCAAACGCTTGAAAGAGCTACAAGCATCAAAGTTCTTGGAGAGGAGATAGATTTCAAAATGACGTTCCGTGATCATTACTCCAACATCTCAAAGGCTCAAAGGCTATCTAAAGTTGATAGGCCCTTTTCAAATGTTACGCGAGAAATAACTAGAATTTTGAATAAAATAGTTGGGATTACTATTAACGAATCATGAAAGAAGGAACCTGAGATTAAACCCTTGATGTTCTGTTCGGTAAGCAAAAACGGTTGCTGCAAGGCCACCGAGCCCCTCGCATAACATCACACCACTTATGATCGAGCTGTTGTTGAAACCATTCAAACCTGGCAGCTATGATGACAACGGCAAGTTTTACACAAAAAAGCTGAGCAATGTGACTCTAAAACTCTTTAATATGGGCCTGGGATTTTATGTTCAGTAAACAAAAACGGCTGTCTAAAAGCAACCGTTATTTGGTTCGTCTCACCTGACTCCTGAACCCTGCACCTAAACTTATACCGCATAACAATGGTCGATTTTACTTATCGTAATGCTCTTTTAGTTTTTCAATTGTGTCCGCGTAAGAGATGGTTTTTAAATCAGTTATCGGATTTCCAACCATTGAAGCTGACGATAAACGGGAAGAACATCGTTGTCATATGAACATATGCTCCTGACAATGCTAGACGGGAAAGTGTGCAACCCGGTAACGTCTATAAAATCTGCCCAAAGATGCTACATTTGTAGTGCCAAATGAACGATCTCACCAAAATATATCAACGTTGTTGGGCAAGGATAATTTTTGATTCGGTCTTTCTACATTACGTGCATGGATACGTTTCTTATGAATATTTCCTTCACATCTCGTATCGTTTGCATATCAAAAAATGGCCAGCCCGAGGTGTTGATAATGAGGCAATGCTGCAGAGGAAGAAACAAATACAAGAACAGTTCCGCGTGGAAACAGGATTGATCGACGACAAACCTCGTTCAGGAGGATCTGGAACTTTGAATGACAGTGCACGATGCACATCGCTTTTCCAGAACGTGGAGAAGTCCACTGAGGTTACCAGATTAAACCCTACATTGCTATACAGATGCAAGTCAATGCTTGAAGTTCTGGCTTCAGGACTGGAAATTGACTGTCAAAAAATTGAAGAGTATTGTTTTGAAACGGCAAGAGGATTACTCAAGGACTAACCCTGGTTTATCTCCCGGTGACTGTACACAAAGTTCTTATGCATGGATCCCAGATCATAAGCCATTTTCTTGTGCCAATTGGGCAATTGTCGGAAGAGGCACAAGAATGTCGGAATAAGGACATTAAGCGATATTGAATCAACCACACTCGAAAATTTTTACGGACGGCAACAAACACAGACCAGTTAAATCGGTTTCTAGAATCTTCTGATCCCCTCATCTCCTCGTTAAGGGCACTTCCTGATAAAAAAAAAAAACAAATGCCATTGTCAGAAGATGCCAGAGCTCTTTTTCTTGCTTCCGATGCTGGTGACAGCGACGAGGACAGCATTGATACTGAAAACGATGATGAACACTGTGACGCACACAGCGATATAACTGATTTATGTACTACGAGCTAATTTCAAATTTATCACTGATTCTATTTTTTTTTCCTAATTCATGATTTAAGGACTTATCAAACCAAAATACTTAAATCTTTTCTGATCACAGATGGAATTTTTCATGTTCACTGATGCCCTAAAAATAATTATCCAATTTATTTTATTTAACGTTGAACGTTTTACATTAAAATGTATCGTAAAACCTATCAGAACCTAATGAAACCACTTGTACTTTGTAGTTCAAAGGCATACTTTTTGAATTAAGATGGTTTGGTTTGCACATTTTTGCCCGTCTTTTACTATTATTTATTATATTCGGAGCATGTTTCGTTCTTCGGTTTCTCGTCAGCAAAGTCTATAGCGATGATCCTGTACTTGGTTGGATCAGATTTACTCTTGAGAATCTTCAGATCGCCAAGAACCTTTTCCTTCCACTCTTTCTGAACCATCCGCAGTAGCTTGGAGCGAACGCAGAACATTTGTTCTTCGTCTTCCTCACCGGTTTCACTTTGATTTCGTCGATTAGATCAATGATTTGTCCGGATGAGACTACTAACCGAAACTATTGGCAGCTGTGTCTTCATCGTCCTCCTCCTCTTCGACTTCAGCAGTGTAGACTGTGTTGATGCTCTGGCTGAACATTCTGGGGTAGTGGTGAACATAGTGGGGCAGCGTTTCCTTCGGAGCTCGAATTGGGAATCGGATGTTAATTGGTTTTTATACAATAGGGAAGATATTTCCTTTGTATGCCAGTGATTTCCCACAACGATTTCACGTTTTCCTCGGTGGATATCTGAAAACGATTCCTGTGGTTATTTTACGAGAACAAATCGCACATGTCCACCTTCCTACAGTTAATTCACATTCAACGTTTTGAAACGGAGGAATACGAACAAAAAGCACTTCCAAACAATAACAGCAGCAACAGCAGCCAATCGGCACAGAGAAGCAGATGAAAATGCACGCCGACGCTTTTCCAGCATCGTTCAAGCAATTTTCTGAACAAAATCTGGAATTCACATCGTTTCAATAGCCGAACAATTCTAGGAGTAACCAGACAAAAACATCGATGAACGTCGACTAAATTTTGAGGTACAGTGAGTTACTCGCGCGTTACTCGCTGCAAAAAAAGCAACTCAGAGTAAAGCTGTCTCACCCTTGCTGAAATCCGATCAGTAGCGGTGCAACTTCTTCCTTCTTCTTCGGCGAATGAACCGCTGAGTGGGCTGCAGCTAGCGCTTGCGAGCAGCCTTTTGTCGAGTACTGGAGAACAATCTACAACGCCACGCACCGAACCCAAGTAACAATTTTGGTTTTATAAGGGTTCTGCAGACCATGATTTAGACTTTGAACATGTTTTAAAACCTCCATAAAATTTGCAATGTTACTTGGAAAAGCACTGCTGCTGCTGATTATCACCACTGGACACCACCACTCACAACACGTGGTGATTGAATAAACACCCTTCGGTGAGACAGGAGTGAATTCGATTTTTAAATCTGTGTTAGGGAAAGCGCTTTTCGTAGTAAATCAATGATAATTTTCATTATTATAGCAACAGTTTCGCATTCCTGCAATTTTCAATAGTGATCGTTTGAAAATTGATAAAGTGTTCATTTAATTATGGTAGTATCATAAAGGTAACTCTAAGACCAGAAGGTCCCGAAAAAACGTGCTCAATTTTTTACCTCAGCTCTGGTACCATAGAGGTAGCTCTAAGACTAGTAGGTCTCGAAATAAAGTGCTCATTTTTTTGGCTCAGCTCTGCTACTCTCTTCGGTCCCTAGCTAATCGATTCACCCCTCGAAACATAGGAAAATACACTAACCCCTCATTTTATCTGTCAAACTTTGATAGCAAATCAAAACCGAGAGGGGCGACACATCTAAATCTCAAAATTAGATGCTCAACATATCTCACACTAGCGAATCAATCTTCGAAAAATATTTTTTCATTTGTCGCATCTACTTGCATCGCGCATCATCTTTTTGCAGGAAATCTTCAGAATCGTCATCAATCTTCTTTTTATCTACTCAGCGTGCGCGCAGCTAGCCACAGCAAAACACAATCTTTTCTGCATCGTAGATAGAGTCGTCCCCCTCGATCAAAACAAACATTGTGTAGTAGTAGAATTTCGACAGAGTTATCCTCAATCAACAACTTCCTGTTCTTGGTAGTTTTGAAAAAAGTGTAAAACCCATGTTGATTCTAAAATCAATCATGGGCTA